GGTAGCTCAGTTGGTTAGAGTGTCATCCTGATACACCAATGTTTCGGGTTCCATCCCCAGTCAGGGCACATACAAGAATCAACCAATGAATTCATCAAATGGAACAACAAAAAATTAATGTTTCTCTCCCTTCCTCGCTCTCTCTAAAATTAATCAATAATTTTTTTTTTTAAGTTTTAAAAAAAGGCATCTTGAATGTTAAATTAACCAAGTATCTTTGGTTTTCCCTGAACAAAGTTTATTCAAAGGCTGCTATATTGTTTCTTGGCACATAGTTGGAGACTGATTACAAAACAGAATGAGATTTCACTTCTGTGTCCTAGAGAAGCTCATTAGAAACTACATGTTTGGCTTTCTCATGTCTCTAAAATTCCAAGAGATTTTAGCCTAACGAGATAAGTTTTAACTTTTTGTTTTTGGTAATTGAGCTATCTTGCTTTGAACAGAAAATATAGCATTAGCATTCTAATACTTAACAAGAGTTTCCATTAAAAGTTATTTATATTAAAAACAGACATATTTTTCACAGTCCAATTATACTATTAATGAGAATGGCATTTATTTCATTCTTTTCCTCTTTAAAATGCATTGTAAGAATTAATTTATCAGCCTCCTAAAGGTAATTAATTGTGGTTTATTTTTATAAAGTGCCCAGATATTCATAAAGTTTTTTCCCATAATTATCTTCATTTTACAGATGAGAATACCAAAATTCAGAAAGCTTCAATTACAAAACTAAACCAAAATGTGACTCAGGGTCTTTGACTCCCAATGCAGCGGTCTTTGCACTTCATCATGGATGATGCATTCACATTAGTGGAGATCCCCCCAAAAACTGTAGTTCTCCTTGGTGTCACAGTGGACATGAGGGTGCTTTGGAGGTTGTAATTCACCACCATGTATAGAGGAGGCCACGGTAAGCCAGTCCTACAAACAAAAGGCAGGTGAAATGAGGCCTCCCAAAGAGAAAATCCTCAGTGGTGTACTTAAGGCATCTCAGACATAAAGCAGCGGGTCTGGTAGTAGCAGCCGATCCCACAGAGCCAGACCTCCTTGGTGATAACTGGGCTAGTCATAAAGGCGAGTCCACAGGTTGAGTACTGGAGCCTCGGAGAAGGAAAGATCCTCAGTGGCAGTAGAATAAACGTTGACCTCGTCTTCAGTCAGGTTTAGCACTGAACCGTTTACCAGATGACAAGTGTGCTGCAGTGTTCTCCCAAGTCTTGGGCTTCTTCCTCGGCAGCCTTCACATCCTCAGTCAGTTTTCTTCTTCTTTCTCCCGCCTGCCGACCTTGAGCAGAGTTCAGCCATGAGGTACTTCATAGCTTCACTCACCCACTATATGCAATGTCTCCCAAGCGTTATCCCTAAGACAGCTATTACCCTTTGGTCCTATAATTCTTTCCCAAAATTCCACATCCACCAGGATCACCCTCCCCAGGAAGATGGTAGCAGGATCTGGAAGTCTTGAAGGAGGAGATGTAAGGAAGACTGAAGGCCAGTCAGGAAGCTGACAAAAGCATAGAGATGAGAGTGAAGGGGTACAGGGAACAGTAAAGAGGCTGACCTGAAGGGTACAGAGGTTGATGGTGATGGGTAATAAGAGGGAAAGAAGCTAGCCACCCGAGCTGGGAACTCAGAAAGGCCTGGGCTTTCAAGAGAAAGAGAGTGATTTGATCCAGTGAACAACCAAAAAGATGAGGGACAAAGTCACTCGTGTTAGGAAGATTACAGGCCATAGAAAATGAATAGGGAAACACACTCATATGTGAAGAATGAAGGGAGGCATTAAGTGCCTTGATAGAACAGGGCAAGAAGAAATTAAGAAGAAACAGTTTACTGACCACAGTGACAAAAACAAAAAAGAGAGTAGAAAATGATTTTAAGTTTTGTGTATTATCCATTCCACTGTAAAAAAATACAGATGCACAGTGAATGCAGAGCCATTGAGTTGGAATTTCTGAGGGTGGTGGCAGGTGTGTGTTTTCTAAAGGCTCTGCAAGCTCACCATAGAGAATCACTAGCCTACAGAGCAAAGCAGACCCACTCTGGGCTCATGGCCTTTCAGCCGGCCTTCTCGGACTTCTGAGTCAGTCAGTAGGTTTAGCACAGTGCTGAGACATGTCGTGATACACACAGAAGAAGGCAGCAGCTAGCAGGAGCCCAGAACTTGTGAACAATGCAAGTCCTAACTGTGGTTCCAACTGCAAGAACAAAAATTCGTTGGAGGAGGGAGATGACTGTGGGTAAGGGTATCAGCTGGACAGGACATCTAGAGGTACTGGGACATAGCCCAGACCTTCCAGGGTGAACTGCAGCCAAAGGCAGGTGGACCAAGGAGCTGGTGAAAGCAGACAAAGCATTGTGCAGAATAGCTCTGAGCAGCGGAGTGTGGGCACTGCGTTTAGAGAGCAGAGGCCAGGTGAGCCTCCCTGAGATGCTCCTCTGTACAAGGCTGGTGATCCTTGTTAAGGCCATGGGGCGAGCGCATTTTACCTTCACTTCTCCCCTCTCTCCCGTTTGTATCTGGCCCTCTTCAACCACGTAATAGCTTTTGTTTTCTCACGCTGTTTGTGAATACACCTTAAGTCCATTAACACTAAGATACAAATGACACATAATCCCTTATGTTATTCTGGCATATTAATAAAACTTTGTGCAATGAATTTACTTACAGAAACCTTATTTCATTCTCACTACAGCCCTATGGAGTGCGGAGGTCAGAAACTACCCCCATTTTATAGATAAGGAAAGAAAGGCCCAGAGAATCTAAGTGGCCACCTCAAGAGCCTCCTTTCTCAAACTAACCAAGCATTTCCCTCCTCAGTACTTGTGTAAACGCTGGTTCCTCTGACTGAAACCCACTCTGCCCTCCTCGGGCCCCCTTGCTCTTCATGCCCCAGGTGTGAGCCCAAGTGTCACTTCTTCAGGAAGGACTGAAGTGTTCCTCCTGTGATTCTTTCTCCCTGCATCCTGTCATTTTTTCATTGTTATTACAGTTTGTAAGTATATGTAAATTCTATGCTTATGGGGTTAATATCTGTTTTCTCCACTAGACTACAGATGCCCGTGTTGGCTGCTATCTCCACAGTACCCAGTACAGAATCTAGCACATAGGCATGTTCCATAAAAATTTTTTGTCTGTGTGTTGGATAAATGATATTCTTATCTCTCGCCTTTGGGATGTCCTCCTACAGCCTCCTTACCAAACAATGCACTACATTACACACACACACACACACACACACAAATCCTATGGAGTCCATGCCCCTGACCATTTCCTTCATTTTCTTTCCNCACACACACACACACACACACACACACACACACACACACACAGAATCCTATGGAGTCCATGCCCCTGACCATTTCCTTCATTTTCTTTCCCCAACATTTATTCATACATTATCATGAATTAGGTTGCATTCACTGCTTGTTTCACACTTCCCTAATCACATTATTAGTTTTTCAAGGACTAAAAGTCCTTCAAGATCTTTTTAGAATCCTCCATAAACCTAGTAGAATGGCCAGCAATGCTATTGGTATTAGTAATCCCTTGATGAATTAATGAATAGACCAATCCATCAGTCCTAGTATATCCCTTTTGCACAGAGAAAATCTTCACATAGCAAATATGGAGATATCATTGCAGCAAAACAATTTTTAACCATGACCCATTGCTGTAGTCCCTCTTCTTCGGTTCCTATTTTGAGTTTCAATAAGAGGAAAACAATCTTATCTTGAAAGGGGGATTAGATTTATTTTTAATAAGAAAGGCTAAATTGGAAGCTTCCATTTTTCCCCCCAAATTTAATAATAGCACTGGTAATGCCTTACCCTTCTCAGCTGGCCTTATTTCAGGTGTGAGTATGAAGCGCCCAGGTAAGCTTCTGCATGATGTAAGAGCAACACCCATATCACCAAATTCACCCAAAGGAGAGAGCACAGAGCAGGGGCATCGGTCTAGTCTGAGCATGTTCTCAGAATCAGTCAGTCCAATTCAGAACTGGGCAGGGAATCTGAAGGGAAACATCAGGTTACTTGGAACCACTGTCCCTAAACATCTGATAGTTACCACTGATGACCACTCGATAAATAAACAGCTTTTGATCTTGCCCCCATCCTTCATTCACAACTAGAACAAAACAAAAACATGTAAGTAAAATGTTATGTCCAAAATGATAACTTACTAAACTGGGGTTTCAGTTTCTACACCTGTCCTGTTATTCTGAGGCAGAAACTTCAGTTTACTGGGTTACCGGCAGGGCAACCTCTGGGTAAACCTCAGCTTGCTTAGTTGCTGATGATTAACAACAACAACCAATATAAGTGTATGTGCACACATACATATTTGATATATGTTATAATATATGCATTTTAATTTACTTTGACAATTGCCTAGCAGGTTCTGTCTAGTTAGTATCTTTCTCCCCCGGTTTAGTATTTGATCTTATAACACAGGCCAGGAAGGAAATCAAGTTTTGCTAAATACCAATTATACCACGAACATCATCAAGGTTGGTATGAGGTCTGTTCTTCATGTGGTATCACTTAACCACCTGTATTCCCACCTGTAAAAACGAAGGATCCCTTACTCTTTGAGACCTGGAGAGTATTATGCTAAGCAAAATAAGCCAGTCAGAGAAAGACAAGTATCACATGATCTTACTCATATGTGGAATCTAATGAACAAAATAAACCAATGAACAAAATAGATCCAGAGACACAGAAGCATGGAACAGCCTGATGAATCTCAGAGGGAAGGCAGGGGTGGGTGGGTAGGTGGGCAGTGATTAACTTAAGAACTTATATGCATATATACATAACCCACGGACACAGACAATAGTGTGGTGAAGGCCTGGAGGGGGGGTAGGGTAGAGGGGATCAATGAGGGGGAAATGGGGGACATTTGTAATACTTTCAACAATAAAGATAATTTTTTTTAAAAAGAGCCTATAAGAGATGACTGCTGATGAGTCCCCTTCTCTCTCCATCTCTAGGCTGCAGAAGTCCTGAAGGTTGATGGAGGGCCATGCTATTCAAACAGCAGGTGTGGCTGAGACAGAAGCTCCTGGTGCTGGGAAGCCTTGCTGTTGGGAGTCTCCTGTATCTAGTCGCCAGAGTTGGGAGCTTGGATAGGTAGGTGATTAAACACATACTTATGCCCATGTGACTTTAAGTGTTTCTTGATTTAAACTTCCTTAGGACATAATTTTAAATCTATCCTTTTGTTTTGCTCCTTCAAAATTCCCCCAAAACATGCTTTTCTGCAGTATTGATCTTGATTTATTGAGCCTTTAAAACAAAGNTCCCCCAAAACATGCTTTTCTGCAGTATTGATCTTGATTTATTGAGCCTTTCAAAGAGATTCGAGATGCGCAAACCAAGGTGTTCGTCAGGATCCATTTGTATTCTGTGCGCGTTGACATTTATTTTCAGAGAAGGGATAAAGCCATGTAGAGTAGAAATGTCATTTTCTAGAGCTCACTGTGGTCTGCGTGCATCTGGCTGTTCACATCTAGCTATAGCAAAATAGTGATGATGTATTTAGCTATCTTCATTTTGAAATTTATGAGTGAGCCATTAATGCGCTACCAGGGAAGTTAAAATTATGTTTGAACCTGTAAAGGAGCTCATCAAGTTTGGAATCCATTGCCCTGGAAAGATGGCTGCAGGCTTGGGGAGTTTGAACTATGTTAATTAGCTTTGGTTTCTAGGACCTGAATGTACCAGACAAGGAGGTTGTCATTCAGGGTAATTGCCCAGAAGCCAATGGAAAATCCTTGGAGAGGAAATTTACAGAGCCAGGGGTTGGCTCTAAATAAGCAAACAGTTGAGAGGTGCTAGGCCTGCAGAGGTCCCAGCAATATCATCTGGCTTCACATTGAATACCTCTGGGCTGTCCCACATCCAGTATGATTGTGAAGGACAGAGAATTGGATTTCTGAAATGTGAAGCTTCCTTCTTTACTGTTTAAAATTAATTATTGCACTGGAAACACTGGAGTATGTTCTCTGCGCATTCAATTCTCATTTTCTGTGAAAATGGAGCCACACTTTAAATGGAAATATCTTCCTTGCAGTTTTCCTTTTCTAATCTATAGATCTGATCATTTGGATATTTAACAAATAATATAGCAGTGGTCTTTATTTTCCTCCTCCCAGTGTCAATTTTGACTGGTAAAATGACCCCCCTTGATGTTTTTCAATTTGAAAATCAGAGTATACTTCCACTTACTAGTTGCTAACTATGAGAAATGGTATAATTCAGAGCTTATCACTGACTTCAACTAGTTCCCTAAAAGCAATGTTTAGCTATGAGTAAAAGTGTTACCATTGTCTTACGTCCATAAAGGAACTTTTATGTCAAGTTCTTCCCAATGGCCTTAGTTAGCTTCCAATCATTTGCTTTTTATTGAGTAATTGATCTAGTGATTATTGACACATTAGTTATTTAGTTGATTCTTTTCATTTTTCACCCGGTCTGTAGTCTCAAGTGGGATAGTTTTTATAAGGAATTGGATTGCTTGTTAGGCTTTCTTAAAAGTTCTCAATTGAGAGTTTGAGCAGATTGTATATGAACTAGACACATGCTGACTTGGGCTTATCTTTCAGTAACTCTGGGTGGGAAGCTGAGCTCAGTTACTTTTACTGTCCCTTCCAATCCTAAGAGTTCATATTTTTAGTCTGAGACCCAGGCTCAGAACGTACTCTTCAAGAAGTAGAAATAAGGTGGTATTTTCTCATGTCTTGAGTTAGGGAGACCATCAAGCAATTGTTCTGCAGGCTATGAGCTCCCAAGGTAGCAGGTAGAACAAGGAAGGAAGGAAAGAAGGAAAATGGCCCTTTGTAGAGGTAGGAAACTCCTTTCTAGCTCAAACAGGGCAGAGACTGTCTGTTTCAGCTTCTCTCAGCCAGAGTTCCTCAAGAGAATTAACTCCTACAGAAAGGGATTTGGCTATTTCCTCAGCTCTTTCAAGGATGATAGACACTAGCATCATCCTAGATGCAGAGAAGCCCACCCACTATATTCAGTGGATGCCTTAGGAAATTAGGGCATATTTCTCACCCAAGAAGAGCCAAAAGATGAATTTCTGATATCCTAATCAATGTCACAATTAAAAACATCTTTGACTATAGATGTGTTGCTACTTTTACAGCTTTCATTTAGAACTCCATCATTAATTTTAACAAATTTATAAAAACAAAATTTATGTTTCTCTAAAATATTAACTGTGCTAAACCTTTCTTTATAGCGTTCCATATTTTCATGTTTTCCACAATGAGCATGAGTTGTGTTTAAAATCATAAAAAAAACAAGCACCACAAAAAAGTAAAATATGTTTATATTTTTCCGTAAGCATTAGGACAGACAGCTGTTTAAACAGAGCACAGGCCAAGCCCTTTCTCCTCCGTTCTGCAGAATGCTTTGGCATGACCTTGAGGTTTTAGTCTTCTCCTTTTCATTATAAACATTACAGAAGATAAGAAAGGTACAATAGAGTCTCTTGGGAAAAGCAAGAGAGAGCCTCATTGCCACAGAGAGGGGGACATAGACTCCAAATTATTAGCATAACTAGAAGCTTCAGTTGAAGGAACTGGCTTAACAGCCATTTTGACTAATAATCTCCCTTTACCAATATGGCTAAAATCCCTTTTCAAATAAACTTAGGGAAAGTATATAATGAATTTCAATTCAGTTCTAGACTATACCCAAAAGGAAACTCAATGTACTAACCATATATATATGTATTAACCGTTCCAAATTAATCAGCCACTCCAGTTTAACATCATTATGATTATCACCACACCTTTTTCTCTGAGAAAAGCAGTGGTGGTTGTTTATTATTTAAGGTAGTGTTGAAGTGGAAATCCTCCTTTCTGGCTCTGTCTATTGTATCCCTTCCTTCAGGAGCTTGAGTCCCTGATTTAAATGGACTTGGCAATGAGGACCTGAGGTTTCTGGCCCTGCCAAGGCCTTGTTGATTTCTGGTCCCAGGTGTGGTAAGTGATATACAGCAACTTGCTGATGGCATTGGGTTTGTTCCTACATTCAGCCAAGTAAAAACATAATCCTGACCTCTTTAGATAGGAAGAAAAAGAGAGGAAGAAGAAATATAGTACTCTTCTAGCTGTCCCCAAGGCCAGCGGCAGAAATTCTCATAGAATGAAAAGCTCAGCAAGTACCATTTTTGGAATCTTTCAGGTTGATGATGCAAATAGCCAAGGGCAGAGACTGGGACCTCTTTTCAAATTATATTGCAACGATTTTTAAGAGCCATGTGAGTGCTGCTGAGCTACAAGAAAGTAATACCACACAAAGCCCAAAAGACTGGCCTCCTAGCTGCCCTTCAGTCTCCTAGCTAACAATTATAATCTTCCACCTTTCACATTCTCTAAATAATGTTAACTGGTGAGCTGTTAAAAGGCTATTAGTATGGCTGGTGTCACTTGTCTGTCCTGTACTGTGTGAACATAAGTACACACCATAGTCAATTAAGTGCTTGGTGAATAAAAATTTTAAGGACCACTAATAAAAAATCCCATCAATTATGTGTGCTCCATTTAATACAGTGTTGCTTAAAATAAAATTTCTCAAACATATGTTCATCATGGATTGCATCAGGCTGGGAAACAGTGGTTTTATTTATACATTTAAAGTCTTACTCTGACTAGGGAACAAGAAAAATGAGAAGTTAGTTGCAATGAGCTTCTTAAAGTGTCTCTCTGTCGCTTGCAGGCTACAGCCCATCTGCCCCATTGAAGGCCGATTCGGAGCCCGTGGGCAGACTGAGTTCCCGCTCCGTGCCCTGCAGTTTAAGCGCGGCCTGCTGCACGAGTTCCGCAAGGGCAACGCGTCCAAGGAGCAGGTTCGCCTTCATGACCTGGTCCAGCAGCTCCCCAAGGCCATTATCATCGGGGTGAGAAAAGGAGGCACGAGGGCCCTGCTTGAAATGCTGAACCTCCACCCAGCTGTGGTCAAAGCCTCTCAAGAAATCCACTTTTTTGACAATGATGAGAATTATGCCAAGGGCATTGAGTGGTATAGAAAAAAGATGCCTTTTTCCTACCCTCAGCAAATCACAATCGAAAAGAGCCCGGCATATTTTATCACGGAGGAGGTTCCAGAAAGGATTTACAAAATGAACTCATCCATCAAGTTGCTGATCATTGTCAGGGAGCCAACCACAAGAGCTATTTCTGATTACACTCAGGTGCTAGAGGGGAAGGAGAGGAAGAATAAAACTTATTACAAGTTTGAGAAGCTGGCAATAGACCCTAATACCTGCGAAGTGAACACAAAATACAAGGCAGTGAGAACCAGCATCTACACCAAACATTTGGAAAGGTGGTTGAAATACTTTCCGATTGAGCAATTTCACATCGTGGATGGAGATCGCCTCATCACAGAACCTCTGCCAGAACTTCAGCTCGTGGAGAAGTTCCTAAATCTTCCCCCAAGAATAAGTCAATACAATTTGTATTTCAATGCTACCAGAGGGTTCTACTGCTTGCGATTTAACATTATCTTTAATAAGTGCCTGGCTGGCAGCAAGGGGCGCATTCATCCAGAGGTGGACCCCTCTGTCATTACCAAATTGCGCAAATTCTTTCACCCTTTCAATCAAAAATTTTACCAGATCACTGGGAGGACACTGAACTGGCCCTAAAATAGTATGTCATACAACACCATGTGTTGTGCCTGGAGACACACAATGTCTCCTCTAGATTAAAATATGCACTTTTCCTAGACACAACTATCCAAGTCATTTTTCCATCTATACTTGTACATACAGTGTGTGACCAAATATAAGACCAGTTCTTTTTCTACTGAAAAATGTACAAAAACAATTTGCTGTCTGCGTAGTTGCATCTTTTAAACTAGTTACTAAAAGAAGAAGTGGTGGTATTGGGGGAAAGTGATTTCATTTATTCTCAAAGAGTTAGTCTTCCTTTGAGTCAGAATTTNAAATATAAGACCAGTTCTTTTTCTACTGAAAAATGTACAAAAACAATTTGCTGTCTGCGTAGTTGCATCTTTTAAACTAGTTACTAAAAGAAGAAGTGGTGGTATTGGGGGAAAGTGATTTCATTTATTCTCAAAGAGTTAGTCTTCCTTTGAGTCTTCCTTTGAGTCACCCGCCATTTTCATAAATTAAAGCCAAAAGATTAATGTGTGAAATGTACCAATGGCTGTGAAGCTGCAGGAAGTAGAGGATTCAGTTATGCATTATTTTCCAAGGGAAGCCTGGCTCTTTAATTCAGATGCTGAATTGGGGCCACGAAAACAGAAAATGCTATTTTCTTATGATTTAAAAGAATGTCTTTTCTCATAAAATTGACATTGTTCCAAAGTTCCTGTGGTGATTTTGCACTATTGTTTTCTCGTATGGACCATGGTGTCACTTGTAGCATGTCAATCATACATTGGAAAGTCGAGTCCTTTTACTTCCATGTTCTATGTCAACAAAGAGAAATGTCATGTACATAATGTATATTATTGTAAATACTGGTTTCACACTAAGTAATTCTATTTTGTAAACTGAATATGGCTATTTAATTTATTGTGAAAATTAAATTTATTGTGGTATTTAAAAATGGAATGGATTAAAATTACTCTATGTGCAACTTTTTTTAACTCATTTGTTTTTATGTGCCCCCTGTTGGGTCCCAAAATCAAAGCTGTTTATGCGCATATTGAGAGCACCTGGAAACATGCACTTCTCCGTTGGATTTCTGTATCCTTGTGAAAATGTATTTATGAAGTTGAGTATATTAAAAAAAAAATCTCAACTATCTGGAAATCTAGTGTAATAGCCACCTCAAAGACCACTAGTGCTGCTCTGCTACAACTTTATAACAATTAATTTACTTACAGCTGTTGCTGTGCTAGGAGAAAGACAAGAAATACTTTAACATAATCAATGCATAGAAGAATCACAATTTTATTTGAACCTCTAATCAGAGTCAGGGCTGTCAAGAAATTGAGTAAAATAAGATTAGAAAACTTGTGTGGCCTCTGTACTAAAAGCTGTTAATGCTTCAAAAATGAATACAAACTCTCAGAACTTTCTCCTTGAGATGAAAATATTATCAGTACTCTCAGAGATGACCAAATTGTGTAGTGTTGTTATTACCAATGTAAACATATGGTTCATATTTCCATCGAGAGAAATTAATGCTAAATTGGGTGCTTGCTAACATCAAATAGACTATATATGCTTAAATATAATTCAGACAACCATGGAAAGGGGTTGGAAAGAGGTATCAAAAAAAAATAAATTTTCCCATTCACAATTGCTTGCCCCGTGGAAGGCATTTGAGAGAGTTTAGTTCAACATCACATTGAGAGTGCCTAGAGAAATCAACAAATTACAATGGATTCCTTTTTTAATGTAGCAAGTGTTGGTTTTCTCCATGAGTTGTTTATCCTGTCCAGTGATTTGATGGTGACGTTTTACAAATAAATAGCCCTTTCCTTCCCGTATCAGGATGTACTGCTTCTCAGACTACAGCCTTGGTAATCTTCANGTCCAGTGATTTGATGGTGACGTTTTACAAATAAATAGCCCTTTCCTTCCAGTATCAGGATGTACTGCTTCTCACTACAGCCTTGGTAATCTTCGCTGTTTCAGTTAGCAGTGAGGCTGTTCTCTCAGCATGGAACAAGCCTGGTACCAGCACACGGGGACTGGTCAGCTTCTTGCTCACTGTGCAATGACTCTGGAGTGAGAGCCTTAGGTCTAAATGTCAATCACATCTCCCTTACCCCATGAATGGAATCAAATATAAGAAGTCTGTCATCAGATTTCCCTGTGCCTCAACTCTCAGCTAATCATCAGAGGAAATTCTTTCAGTACGACACTCAAGGACACAATCATACACTATTATCATTAATTTTATTATAACTATTCCTAGAGCACTATATGGCTAATAAGTTTTAAACCAGTGACTGTCAAATTATGCCCCATTGGAATACTGTTGTTTCAAAAACTCACCCTAGGTATTCCACCAGTAAAATTGAAGAATGGCAATCTTTTTCAAGACTCATAAAGAAATTTAAAAACAGTGAATAGGCGTTTCTCAGTAATCATCTTTCATATTCCCAAAACTTTGCTACTGCTACCAACAGTGTATATCAGAGTTTATTCTAAGATTCTACTTGACTTACGCTGACTTTCATAATTTGTTATTTTTAGTCCAGTAAGCCAGCATTTCTTCAGCACATTCAGAAAAAAAGTGTTGGAATTTCCAGTTATTCCACTACCTAAATAAGTTTGAGAATTGTTTTAAAGCTTGGAGCCTTCCCACAGAGGTCTGGCCTGGGGTGGGGGTGGGGAGTGGGGAGTTCGGAGGCAAGTTTCATTTCACTGAAACAACAAACAAATAAACAAAAGCCATAGCCACTGCTGATCCAGCGAGGTAGAGAGAAATAAAAATCCTATGACTTAATAGCACACTTCCACTGGAGGCTTTAAACCTCCTTGTTTAGAAAAATGTTTCCTGTTGTCATCAAACAGGGACCAAGGACCTCTGGAGAAATCTTCAGCTCATTATAATAGCCGCAGTAGGGTTCTCTTGAATTAGTTATTCCTTTTACATCATGAAAACTTTGTATTCCCTCCAGAGGCCTGGTGGCACCATATGGCTTTGTGAAACAGCTCTAGCTGCAAAGAGGAAAAGGCTGTGTAAGGATGGTGAAATTTCTGCTAGACCATGAAGCTGAAACTACACCATTCCACAAGCCAAGGAATTCCAATTATACAAACGGAACTAGATTCTCCAGGGAGTGAGAGAGATTAGGGAACAGAAAAAAAGAGACACACAAACCCATAGACAAAACATCCCAAATTCCAAGTCTATTACCTACTCACCTGAAATCACCTCACATCAACACTCAATTGATTAAATACTCAGAAACCTAAGCATATACGTTCTTTTTTACAGGCAAAAGGAAAGAAACCATTATTTGTACAGTTGATCCTGGAAAATATATGGAGTTTGTATGATGCTGTCTTTTAAATACCGTCTTTTAAAGGTTAAGGTGATGACTTTTCCTACTAATTGCTTTGTAGTGCAGGAAAAATATAAGACATTAGGGTCCTTAGCTAATGTATGATAAAGCAAAGACATGTAAACCCCTCATATCCACATCTGATCTTAGATTTGGTATCTTTTGTGCTGAGGGACCAGCAAGAACTGTCAACTGCCAGCCCAGACTCACTAGAGCTGATGGAGCCTAATGAGAGCACTACTTGGGGTGCTGCACCTGCTACAAGGGTCCTGCTGGAAGACAAGCTCAAGAACCTGTGGGAGCATTACCTGGAACACTGGAGAGGTAGTGCTGCTAAGGGAAGGTGGGAACTCAGGGCAGGTGCAGTCCAAATTCCAGTGCTGACAACAAGCTTTTGCTTTGTCCAAGCAGTTTGCTAAATAGGACTGCCTTCTTAAGCCTAATTTGAGAATTTTTCCTGGGATGGAAAATTTTAAATGACCATAAATAGTGTCTTCCTGCTGAAGTTTTTTGTACTCTTTCCACATATTCAGCAGCCATTTTCCACTTAGGAGAACAGTCTACAGTCTAAGCAAGAAAATAAAGCTGTGCTGAAAACATTCTCCCTAAAAATGACTAAATGCAGCAAAGTCTTAGCAATTTGGGCTAAAAAGGTGAACATATAGGATATTACAAAGCACATCCATTGCTGTTATTTCCTACTACACAAAGCACCAGACTATACTAACATGTTGAAAAACATCTAATTGCACCTGTTTTACTAAATAAAAATCTCTTAGTTGGTATTTTTTCCAAATTGGTGTTACTCATGTATTTGATTAACAGTCTATCCTCTTCAGTAGGTTATTCATGGCCCCGAGTATCTGTTTATTAATTTTTATAGCTAATGCGAGGATGAAATTTGGGCCGAAATATGATCATTTGGTAAGGTTCTAATAAATGGCACCTTACTACATATCTCACAAAAACAACTTCTTTACATTGTGCACATCTAAAGATTCATTTCCAATTACATTTGATTGTAACTTTGAGAAATAAGAGTGCCATTTCATAATGATTAGAGATGAATTGATGAGTTGAAAAGGCAGACTAAACGTACAGCACTATGTATTTCTGTAGAAGGCACCTGATTGGTGTTCCAAGAACAGGCCTCTGGTATGCAGTGAGCTCTGTTGAAAGCACTACCCTTTCAGTCACATCAAGCATGCCTGCCTGCTACCTTACCGGGCTACTTCCGTCCCTTCTGAATCTGTGAACCATAACAGTCTCCAGGTCTTAGGGAGCTGTTGGTAAAATGGTTTATTGTTTCTAAACATACATGTCATCCCTTTTAAAGAACAGTCCACCATGGAGGTGAGTCTTGCTCCTAGTGGACTGGGAACGTCATTTCAAAGAGCTGGCTTGCCTCTGGCTCACCTGCAGCATTTCTAAATGCAAACGACTCCGCTTTGCATTTCCTTCCCTTTAATGACACCAGAGAAGAATCTTTAAGGCCAGCTGCAAACAGAATTATTGGTATAAATGGGTGGGTAAAAGTTCAGAAGGCAGAGGAGGGAACAATGAACTCAGCCTGGAGGAGTCAGGAGGATGTCCTTGATGTTTGAACTGAGCACAAGAAGGTCACTGCACCTCACAAGGCAGACAAGCAGGAAAAATGCACTCCAGGATGAGGGAAATAGAACAAAAGCATGAGGTGTGGAAGAGTCTAGGAAGTTCGCAAAGCTGGCCAGTAGAGCACACGTAAGAGAAGATGAAAGCTGAGTATGGAAACCCCGCCAGAGCTTCTCAGGCCTTCAGCTAGCCCTACCGGTTGGCATGCACCACCATTCGCCTACTTCCTTGGGTCTGCACCCAGCTGATCCTTTTAGAAGCTAAGAGTTTAAGAATGGAGATGAGATGATGAAATTATTATTCTAAAAGTTTTCTTTCAAACAATTGGTGCCCACAG